CACGCATTTCGTCGGACCATGACACACCGCTCCAATTATTCATGGCACATGGGCACTCTACATCCGCATCCAAAGATGATTGGATAGTGGACTCTGGCGCATCTGCAAACATGACGTGTCAGCGGGAAATTTTCATCAAATATCGCACACTGAACCCACCCGAAAAAGTAATCATCGGAGATGGACGCTCGATAGATGCGATAGGTATCGGACGTGCTGAAATAAACGTCTATGTTGGTGAAAATGAGTACATCCACTCCATCCTGCAGGAAGTCTATCACATACCAGACCTGAATGTGAACCTTCTGTCAGTTCCCCGCCTCACGAAACAAGGTCTCGAAGTCACCTTTGATGGTTCCCAATGCAAGATCCTTGCAAAGGGAAAGACCGTCGCTCTCGCACATAAGCGAAACTCGCTATACGTCCTTCAAGTAAAGCCCTGCGAGAAAGCACATGCATACATTCTGCAAGGACCATCAGCTCCACTCGATCCAGATGTCCCCATAACAGCTCTCACCTCGCGCATGCTCCATTCGAGTGCAACTCTGGACACATGGCATCGACGACTTGGGCACGTAAATTTCGACTCCATATCTAAGTTAATTTCGAAAGATATGGTCAATGGGATCAACATAAAGGGTTCAAGTACTCACAATAAGGCAGTGTGTCAGCCTTGCCTTGAAGGCAAGCAACACCGCAACCCAATCCCAACGAAATCAAATGTCGAAAGCCCAGGAGTCCTGTATCGCACATACTCTGATGTATGCGGACCCATGGAAACAGTGTCGCGCGCCGGCTTCCGATACTTCGTTACATTCATAGATGCCTATTCACACCATCTCGTGGTTAAACTTGTGAAGACCAAGGATGAAACATTCGCACTCACCAAAGGATACTTTGAACGTGCAGAGACCGAGACTGGAGAACGCCCCAACTATTTTCGTAGTGATGGTGGGGGGGAATATGGATCAAAACAATTTGTATCCTATCTCGAGTCAAAAGGCATCCATCACGAGAAAACAAACGCATACACACCACAAGAGAACGGTGTCGCAGAGCGGATGAATCGGACCTTAGTTGAAATGGCACGCAGCTTGCTACGAGACGCCGGACTGCCAAACACATATTGGGGAGATGCGATCCTATATTCGGCGCACATATTGAACCGGGTTCCAACTTGTGCGATAGATGGAGACATTACACCACACGAAGCGTTCACTGGGAACAAACCATCAGTATCCCATCTCCGGGTATTTGGGTGCAAAGCCCATGTACACATACCTGATGAAAAACGCCAGAAGCTCGGTGTGAAATCGCTCGAATGCGTCAACCTTGGGTATGCCGAACATCGAAAGGCCTATGTATGCCTGCATCGTCCAACCGGTCGCATCCTCGAGTCGCGAGACGTCATCTTCGATGAAGGAGATCCGCAAGGGCCTAGTCGTGTCAAGATAGACACATTTCTCCCAGAGAAACAGGTCACTGCTGCAAAGCACAACACAGACGACCTGCAAGGCCTGGAAGCTCCTCATAAGTCAACAATTATAGAAGAATTATCAGACGATGACGCACCGGAAGTGGGAAATCCAGCTACCGAATCTCCCCACGAGGATGATGATGTCGATGGACAACCAGCTCCTCTAAGCATGGTCAAGTTCGAGCCTGAAGACCAGAACAAGGAAATGTCAGCACCGAACAACACGCGTGCGTTGGAGACACACCGTGTTCAACCACTAACCCCTTCAGCCACTCGACAAATAGCACCTCCTGCTCCATATCCTCGCCCAGCTCCTCCACCTGAAGTAAGGCGCAGCTCGCGAGCGCGATGCGCACCTATGCAAGACGATGATCCTCGCTACTTCATAAACGCCTATGAGAAGTCAACACTTCAAAGAGAGGAACCGGTTATACAAGACATACCTGAGGCAGTGGGCGCGATTGAGGCTGCGGAGACACATGGGGAGGCTTACAAGGCTACAGTAGCTTGTAATGGTGAGCCTGGGACGTTCCATGAAGCAATGAATCGTCCAGACGCAGATCTATGGTACACGGCGATGACCGAAGAATTGAAGATCTTCGAGAAGATTGGCCTATACGAGGAAGTCAAACGCCCTCGTGACCGCAAGGTTGTAGACTCGAAATGGGTCTATAAAATTAAGCGCGGCCCGCATGGCGAAATTGAACGCTATAAGGCCAGACTCGTCGCGAAAGGTTTCACGCAGGTCCAAGGGATCGACTACACAGACACCTTTGCCCCCGTCACGAAGTTCTCGACGATTCGAGTCCTTCTTGCCCTTGCAGCCAAGTACGATCTAGATATACATCAGATGGACGTCAAGTCAGCTTTTCTAAACGGTGAATTGGATGAGGAAATTTACCTGCAGCTCCCTCCTGGCTTTCGTGACTCGTCGAATCAAGTTTGGAAGCTCAAACGTGCTCTATACGGTCTTAAGCAGGCACACAAAGCATGGTACAAAAGACTACGTACCGTCTTCGAGTCTCTCGGCTTCACACGCAGCAATGCAGACCATTCTGTCTTCTACAAGGTCGAGAACGGCACAATCATTATAGTCGCCATCTATGTTGACGACAAAATGATACTGTCAAAAGATAAGAAGATGATAGATGAGCTGAAGAAACGGTTAGCAGCAGAGTACGAGCTTACCGATTTGGGAGAAGCGCGCTGGATTTTGGGAATGGAAATCATTCGCGACCGCGATAAACGCACGATCAAGCTGTCACAAAGCCGCTACATCGAATCGGTACTCGAGCGTTTCGATATGGGATCCAGTCGTCCTGTGAATACGCCAATGGACCCTAATACCAAGCTCATCAAAGTGAATGAAGCCGAAGTCGATGTGAAGACTTACCAAAGTGCCCTAGGTGCACTGATGTATGCGATGCTTGCGACGCGTCCGGACATCGCGTTCGCAGTAGGTGCTCTGAGCAGATTTGCAGCTACCCCCGGACAAGCGCACTGGACCGCTCTAAAGCGTGTCTATCGGTATCTACGCGGGACCGTCAATAAATGTTTGACATATCAAGGGAAGTCAGAAACGGACTTACATGCGTTCGTCGACGCAGACTGGGCCTCAGATGTCAATGACCGGCGTTCGATAACCGGATATATATTTTCAATATCTGGAGGAGCAGTTAGTTGGAGTTCGAAGAAGCAAAGTTCAGTCGCACTTTCCAGTACCGAAGCAGAATATATGGCCGCCGCCGCTGCTACGAAGGAGGCCGTTTGGTTGAGGACCCTACTCAGAGAACTAAACTCCTCAGAAACTCCCCCAATAACTCTCCAAATCGACAATCAATCTGCAATTCTGTTAGCCGAAAATGCCATGTTTCACGAACGTACCAAACATATCGCGATCCGGTATCACTTTATCCGAGAAAAGTTGGAGGAAGGAGAGATATGCGTTGAGTATGTTCCCACAAACGAACAGATTGCCGACGTTTTGACAAAGGCACTTGCGCGCGAGAAGCATGGACGATTCATCGAAGGAATGGGAGTGTTGAACGGCGAGAGTTTGATTCGTTGAGTGGGCGTGTTGAAAGATTATAGATAAGTGATAACTTTGATTCGGACAACAACAAACAACACTCGCTTACATAATACGCTATGCGCTCATTAGAAGTTTTATATTACTTAGCACCTCAGTCTTCGACTATTGAGACTGAGGTATGATATTATTTATTTAGACTCTTTACTACGATACTGACTACTACTCTAGTACTTACTACTTTCGTTTATAGGTCAGCTAGTAGTCTCCTAGTCTTCGACTATTGAGACTGAGTACTTACTACTTTCGTTTATAGAATTCTTTCTGTCATTCTTTCGTCCGTCGCATCCTCGAACAAAACAATCATATCGCAAAGTTCCCCTCCGACACTCTCTCGTACTGACAGACAGCTCAGCATCCTACACTCTACCTCATCACAAAACCGGGACTTCGGGAGAAGGATGCGAGATTTTGCTATTGGGGGAACCAGAAGGACGTGTAGACGGTTTGAATATCTTTCGGCGGTATGTGTCTGCCCGAGATAGAGTGTTTGTGCACCACCCTCAGCTTTGGATCACTGTGGATGGGAGCATGCCCACTCGTGCGTGGTTCATGCGCTATCTACGATGGTTCTTCCCACCTACAATCTCAGGGCACTCCATGCGTGCCGGAGGAGCGACAGCTCTTGCGGGGAATGGCGTCGCACCTGCGCTGATTCAGGCAGCGGGACGCTGGTCCTCAGACATATTCCAAAAATACATTCGGAAGCATCCGTTCTTGCTTCACCTTCTTGTTCACAGTTCGCAAGGTCATTAACTCACCGAGATGTACAGCTCCGTTCTTGTTTGGTTTGAATTTTTATTTGTACGTTTGAATTCTGATATATCTATTAACTAAAAAAAAAAAAAAAAAAAAAATAGCCCTATAGCGCTTGGTCGGTCAAAACTTGACCTTCCCTTCAGTCAGCAGCCACTTTTGGGGCTTGTACATTAGTTTTTCTTCCCTTCAGTCAGCAGCCACTTTGGGGGCTTGTACATTAGTTTTTCCCCTCGATTCTTTCAGTTAACGGCCATGTTGGTGGCTTGTACATTACTCTTTTCCCTCGAAGTGATAGCTACGATTTGTACGATACGTGTACTACTGTCTTCTTACGAGCTGTCACATCTCGGTGCTAATATTGATCGCGGACCCTCTGAGCATTGAGCTGGAGGGTCCCGCTTGCCCTAAACAAACATCAATACGGCACTAGTGTTGCCGCGAGGCGAATCAAATCGAATCGAGGTGGAAATTTGTGGTACCTCGACACAGTTCGATACTTACGAGTTGCAACGAGTTGCGCCTCGTTCGACTCGCGAGTTACTAACGAGTTCAGAATTATGCGAACCGGTGGTTCAGCCAATGAGAAGCCAGGGATGCTAGATACTGCCAACGACGATTTTTGCAAGTAATACACGATGAGCAGACAGAAACTACAATCAACTAGTTACAATCAATTTCCCTTGCATTTGCAAGGAACTGATCGAGCTCGCGAAGATTCCCAGTAGCCATTAGCTCGTCAACTGCTCTTGAAGTCACAGGTCCAGATATCGTGTAGTCCTGCTCATTAGCTACCAGGTCCTCCGTAAAATTGAGGCGGTCTTGCTTGTAAGTGAACTTCAGAACTTGTAGCGCCTCGAGTATGGTCGGAGATAGGTTGCTGCGCTGTAGAGTGCAGGTCTCTTTGGTTGATGAAAATATGCGCTCGGAAGGCACAGATGAAGCTTGAGCAGGCAGAACGTCCATGGCGACACAAAATAGAAGCGGGAATGTGTGTTCTTTTTGCTAGAATATAATACTCCTTAATTCTATGAAATTAATGAAAAAAAATGATATGACATACCTCCCAAAAACGAACTATATCTGTTGTGCGTTCAGCCACGTCAGGTAGTAATCCTGCATCTTCGTAACGAGAAAACTCGCACTCGGCATCTTTCCTGTCTTGTTCGAGTTCCTTGCGAATGAGTTCCTGCACAGTTTCTGGTGCTGTCGTTGGTTCGGAGACAAGTGTTCAGGGCTGAGATGACTCGGAGGAAATGACCATGGGCCAGGATTCTGCTGCAACGACATGGGGTAAAATGTTGCTCGCAGCAATAGCTCTGAGCCACAAAGTGTTTTACTTCAATTGAAAATTTCAGTGTCCAGTCAGGGTCTCAAGAGTCAATAGCCGAGAGTGACAATCCAGATTCCAAGTTCTTTTGGATGTTGGAGGGGAACTTAGCTGCCAATCTGTGTGCCAATTGCAATGAAGGGATACAACAATAATGACCATTATGATGTAGTACAGGGGATTACGATGTATGGCATGAACTCGTTTCTAACTCGCGAGTCCAACGAGTTGTAACTCGATTTAGTTCGGAAGGTTCGAGTTGAAACGAATTGGGTCATTTTCGAGCCGAGCCGAGTTTAGCTCGAGTTGACCTCACCTCGACAACAACACTATACGGCACACACACATTCTAAGTCCGACGACTGTCCAGTACTGCCCGCTACTCCACGTATCCCTGTTCGAAGCACCGTATCCAAGCCAATAGTTCGTACTAATTACACCGATGACTCATCATCGATTCTAGCACACAGAAGCATACTGTCTCATCGGGCGTTGCCAATACATAGGATTTTCAAAAAAGCTCCGTATCTGAAAACTACATCTGAAGGCATGAAATAGATATATCATAGTCTCCTTCAATTTCTAGAGCTTCAAGCTTCAGCGCAACCACCACCGCGCTCCAATTATGGCAGATGCTATAGTCTCAGGGGTGTGAGGCACCTGTGGGTTTCCTTGGTCGCAAATCGATTTAACCTCTTAACCGAGGTTACATAAGTTAAGTTATGATGGTTCCGGTTAGTGCAACCAGCGGTCTTCGTGATGTATGTGCAAGCTCTACTTATCCACGGACGTCTGCGCGATAGCCTCCGCTAAATTCGGGCTCTAGATCTTTGCATCAACCACTCCTCCACCCATAATCGCTTTCATGCCATGAAGTGAGCTTCCGTCCAGCTGTCAAGTCATGTTCTCGTCAGCCTGTCGACATCACAAACGAAACCAACGCACAAGGCCTTCAAGGTGATCTGTCCTGCCCTCGTCTATCACTGTCACTTCTATCGCAGGAACCTCGTCGTCCGCAACTTGCAGCGGCACCTCACCCTAAGTCACCCATGAGCAACACCTCGTGTTGAATACCCGTCAAACTCACCTGAATCCGCACCTCTACCCTCACCCACCCCGTATTAACCATGGGTCCCTTTCGCTTCCATGTCCCCCCACCCAATCGCACAATTGCGCCCACCAGTTGCGCAATACACAACCCATGACTCACAAGTGCGATATGCTCATTCCCCCCGGACCTCGCAACATTCACTACATGAGGAAGCACAACATCCCTCACTGCCTTCTCACCCCTCCTCGTCAAATCCTCCACCGACTCCCCGCCAGGAAATGCCACGTGTTTCTCGCTTTCATATAATATCGGGTACTTTCCCTCCGCAAAGTGAGCTTCGAGTGTCTTGCCTGGCTCCCGTACGCATGTCTGATGCCCTTCTGCAGCTCCAAAGCTTTGCTCTCTGATGTCGGTGATGGTGAAATCATGAGGAGGCTTGGGTGTGGGTTGCGCGTCTAGTACCGCTTGGGCTGTGTCCCGTGCGCGGGGTAGAGGAGACGCATAGATCTTGGTGAATTGTGTGTCTGCAAAGTATGCGCCTACGGCGCGTGCTTGCTGTTCTTGGGTTTAGCTCGCGCTGAGGGGGAGGTGGGAGAAAGGCTTACCTGCGTTCCTGATAGCCAAGATCAGTCGTGATGCTCGTTAGATAAACGCGCATTCGAACTATGACTTACCTCTTTCCGTGAGAGGACATTCCGTGCAGCCCGACCAGAGAGCTAGCTGCAATCATCTTGTGATCAGTGGGTATCACCAGACCACTACTTCAGCCTTACTACGTTGTGTGTGGACTCTCCATGTCTAATCTGTGCACATGCCATCAGCAATATGGAAGGATCTCCCAGAGTCATTAGAGGGACGTGCCAATGTCACTGTGAGCATCTCGTCTGATCAGAGGTATCGACGGCAATCCAATCGATGGCAAGGCTTGCAGGGTTTACTTACATACCGAAACGCAACCGAAATGAGGCTCTAGCGTGTCGGAGCATAAATTTCACATTGACGGTAATTTGACGCGCAGATTTCATTCTGACGCCCCCGGTTATATTTAGCACGATTGTGGTACGATGACAGCCGCATTCCAGAGTTTGAGAAAGAACACTTTGCTTGGGCGTGTGACATGCCAGAGAATGATGGTCCCTCTCAACTACAAGTCCCCTTTGACGCAACTCTGATGAACGGATCATGAAAGATCGTGGCCACGGGAAGGCGACTAGTCGAACTCAGGGTTCCTTCCATCAGGCGCCCGAACCGTATGATCGGTTCCGCAAGACTGGACAAAAAGCCGAGACCACCAGCAAAACACTGAGGGCTCACCGCAAAATAATAATCGTGTGACACCACAGGAACCAGCTCTATCCTGAAACACAATCATAACATTCGTTTCATGCACTTACAGAGGCTAGAAATACGGAGCTAAAAATTGCCGAGGCAGAAAGCAGTGTCATAAAATTGGCATGCTGTATTTTTATGAAGCCAACTCGGTTCGCCCGTTTCCAACTGGAAAAACAGGCACCACCGGTCAGCTCTTTCGAAGTACGTCGCACGAGCGGTGATTGGTAACTGGCAACACCGAACGGGGCGATGTTCAGAAAGCTGGAGAACGTGGGTTGACCGCGCGGCGCGTTATGGTTGCGAATCCTTAATGAGATTGTGCATCGTAAGAGACCGAGAGATTTGCGTCGAGGCAAGTACCAGTTGTCTGCAAAAGTCGGTGTGCTCTGAGGTAGGCATTCGTTCAGTTTAGTGCGACGAAGGTCGAAGGGGCCCGTACGCCTGGGTACGTGAATGGTACGTGAAGCTCTGCGTTGCTGGTCGTTTGTAGATGTACATTTTTTCTGGTTGGGACAACACCGCAGAATCACCGCGAGGAGTATGTGGAGGACCGAGGTAGTAGGGCATCGCAAGTAGAACGGCATTATCATCAGGCACCCAGAGCGGGGATAGACTCAGCCGTTGCGTCCATGTGCGTCCACACAAAGATAGAGTAGAACCAGTGAGCTGAACACCCAGTCAAAAAGGTGTGCTGCATGCTGTAGGTCAGCGATAAGCCACGCACCATGCACATTGTAAGTGCAGCAGCTCGACGGGAAAAGTTACATGCATGATGCATGATGGATAGATAGCAATCAATCGCAGTTTGCGCATGCTTTCTTTGTTAGGAAACGCAGCTGATTTTTTTGGCCTGAGCATAGCCAAGCTGATGGCGTCAAAGTCGACATTTAAGCGCTAAGCGCTCTGCGAACAGAACGCTACAGGTCAACAAACAAGCATCAACATAAGATATTCGTCGACCAGCTACGCAAAACATCAGAAACCGTCAAACAAGTTACCGTGAGTTTTCTCTTGTTCACTGCATCTACTATCGTAATAACAGTGATGTTTATAGCAGATATTCTTAACTCATAATGAACCGACCAGGTGTGTTCTCAGCTTGCTCTGGCGCCATTGTTGCACTTAGTTCCGGCCAGGTCAACCTCTACAGCGACCACCAAGTCTTGCTCCTCCAGCTGGTTTGTCGTCGCAATTTCGGTCTCCCTACCCAACGTCGCAATATCCTCTACCACAACGGAGTTATCCGACACCAACCCTTCAGCAACAAAATGCGCACCGAACGCCTGCCATTGCACCAGGGTCTAATGTCACAAGTTATGCAACGCAGGCAGGGCAGAGTGGGTCAGGTGCTGCAGGTGCAGTGGCGCAGAGCAGAGATTTTGGCCCCGATGATTTTCCAGCGCTGGGAAGTCAGGCAGGTCAGCAGCCATTAAGCGGCCAGAACTCGACTCAATCGCAGAATCCACCGTCTGGTGCTGATCTCAGTGCGCCACCCGGTGTACCACCTCCGGGAGTAAGCCCGCATGTGTCAAACGGGACGCATCATATACATCCGCATCAGCATAACGCACACCCACAGCTGCATAATCCACAACCAACACATAACCCACTTGTGCAGGCTCACCATCATCCACAGACTCCCGCACAGCAGGTGCTCATGTCCGCAGCAGACCGGTGGGGCTTGCTTGGCCTGCTCGCAATGATTAAGAACGCCGGTGTTGATGCAGATGGAGGTCTGAGTAGCGTCGGTACGGATTTAGGTGCAATGGGACTCGACATGGGTTACGAGGGGTATGTCAGTGCATCACTAGACGCTTGGACGGTTTTTGCTTATGTTACATGAAAGAAACCTGTATTCGACATTTGTTACGCCGTGGGCAGATCAATCTGCAGCCCATAGCGTTGAACCTGATTTTCATCTGCCTCCGTGTTATAGCGCTCAACCACCGCCATTAGGACCAGCCAAGCCGGAGCTTTCAGTGATGAGACGCTGTTTTTCATGTTCTATTCAAGTCCGAGGGATGCACTGCAAGAAATCGCAGCGCAGGAATTGTAGGTCTCGATTCATGTCTCAGAAAACTTTCGATGCTCCCACAGTGTTGTTTTGGCTGCCATACTTACGGATTTAGACTGACTCGCGGCTTCACAGGTGGAATCGCAATTGGCGATACCACAAAGACCTACGGATTTGGATAACAAAAGAAAGCGGCAGTGCTCCATCATCAAAAATCCCAGGGGGCGAAGCAGGAACATACACATGGTGGAATCCCGATGACTGGTGCAAAGAGCGTAAAGAGATGAGCGTTCGCTATGCAGACCTCGAGGAGAAGACAGTCGCAGCATTTGTAATGGGACCGGGCCTGGTATTGGCACAACCCGGTCAAACCATACCTGGGCAGCAGCAGGTGCAGGGTGCCGCAGGGCAGCAGGGAGGAGCACAGTCTGCTGGGCAAGCTAGGATGCAAATGGCGGGTATCTAGGCTGGAGTGATGACCTTATCATCGTATTCGATTCGCATGTGTGCTTACGTATTTTAAGTTCTGCTTCATCGCCATTTTTTTGTGAAGTGAACGATTGTATCTGCGATTCTGTGGCACTCTTGAAAATATTCTTCCTTCGTCCTAATTTCCTTTTGTGTAAGTGAACAAGTGGTCACCTGACACAAAATGAAATTATACTTCGAACAGAAGCCACCAGTGTTGTTGGCAGCTTGATTGAAGTATTGTGGTCAGAGAATTAGGAGCATAAGTTTCATGCTGTCTCGCTCACTATTCCGAGCAACCACTTTCTTCTCCCACGGTTCTTGCTCGAGGAGGGCATTCTCGACGAGAAATCTCGGTCCGAACCATGATCTCCTCCAAATGCTATCACAAAGTGAGTTCCTTAAGTTTAAACTGCAGAGAAAATCCTCAACCCCCGACGTAGATTTAGAGCGTGAAAACACCTGTCCGAACAGAAACGGTTACAAAGTTCGTGCGTTTGCACGAGCTATCGAGGCTATCGGTGCGCTGGAGGAACCCGTGCGGGACGTAGCTCAGGTGAAAAAGGTTAGAACTATTTGCTACTGACCCTGCGAGATTAGTATTCACTGCTAGGGACTCTGTGTAGCTGAAGGGGGTAGGCGTTGGAATCAGAAACAGGATAGACGCGTTCTTGTCGGGTAAAGATTATGTCCGTAGGTGTTACGCGTCTTGCAAGTGTCCGTGGGTTTCATGCGCGTCTCCAGGACCCGGAAGCTGTCATCAAACCTTCTGAAGGAGTGTCGAAATCCAAGGCAAGAGGGAGTTCTGATCCTGAGGCGAAACAGAAGAACATGATAACTCGGTCATTGCAGTCTGTTTCTGCCATTGGGTACTACACGTTCACCCTGCGTTGAATTTGACGATGTTCTGACAAATTGCATAACTACAGCCCAAGGACTGCGAAAGTCCTCGTTGACGCGGGTTGTACATCCATTGGGGATCTGAAGACACCGAAGTTCTTTGACATGTTGAGTCCCTCGCAGCAAATCGGCGCGCGATACTACGGGCATCTCGAACGACCTGTCGAGAGAAGTCAAGCCGAACTACTCGCTGTGCGTTATTGATTTATTACTCGAAGAATGCTTCATCGGCTCATCAATGTCTAGAAATTTATTTTGGAGAACATCTCTTGTAAATTTGATGTTGAGCTCGTGGGTAGCTAGTAAGCAATCTGCATCCTGTCCTCTTTCTACGTTAACTTCAATAGTCGGCGGGGTGCTCGATCGTTCTTGGGCGTTGATATTATGTTGACTCACCCTTCTCATGTCCATGTGCCTACGCCCCCATCAAAGAATGGTTCAGTTGCACAAGGAATTAGCAGGACACGTTTTCACACATCATCTAGAAAGCTACGGGAAGTTCAGGACTCGCTTCTCTTGCGTGATGTGGTCTTCCCACTCGAAAGCCGTGGCCTCGTCGTTGAGACGCTGTCGCCTGGTTCCAAGAAGTGGCAAGGTGTGATACGGCTACCTGAAAGGACTGTAGACGGAACTTGGGAAGAACGTTCTCAACGAATCGAGCGTATTCGCGAGCAGCAGGGCCTTTACATTCGATTGGACTTGAAGTAAGTTTTGATAAAGATTTTTGGCGCACTGATTTGATGGCATGCAGCCTCGCCCCTGTGAAGTCAAAGGGAGCAGCACTACTCGCGTTGACTGGGGACAAGGAATTCAACATTGACATCCGTACCAAAGCTGCGCGACTGGGCCTGCTCCTCGATGAATTCGGCCTGTGGAGGTGGACCTCTGACCCATCACTCCCAGCGGATGCAGAGGAAGGGTACTGGACGTTTGTAGAAGGTGAAAGCGAAGACGCTGTCCTGCGCGAGCTCGGCATGAATTATGTGGAGCCAATAAAACGCAACTTTGCCTACCTCTCCAATTCTGACTTGGACACGCCGACCGTAAAAAAGGGGGGTAGGCCGCGGAAGGACATCGTGTAGTTCCGCTTTGGTTCTGTTTGCATCTACGTATTATACTACTGCATGCGTCAAGAATCATCATTTAATCACTGGCATAATCTTGATGCATCGATGAAGAATGACACCGGTGTTATAGTTTGTGCTTGAATTACTCTTTCTGCCTGCACAGGCTTCGTGAAATCAATGGATTCCACGGCGCTTGGAATTAACAAGCAACACTAAATAGTTGCAGGTTGCGCAGTCACACTACCACCAAATCTATCGGTGTGCGGGCGTAGAGGTAATATAATCGCGGATTAATCGAACACACTTTGAACTTTAACTGTGCCACTACTTGGCACACCAATGGCACACTCTACCTATCTCCCGACACCCACTTTCAACTTATTGGAGAGGTGGTACACTGCGTTCAAAGTGTGCTGCCTGGCTTCCAGCGCATCGGGAGGCAGACACTGACACCTTATTAGTTCCGAAGCTGATCATGGCATATTACCAAACTCGAGTCGCGCTGTTATATTTATGCAATGTAAAAATCGGTGTAAGTGAGAGCTAGTAGACTAGTGGCGGTGTCTAGGTTAGCGTGACCTAAGACATCTGGGCTAACTTCCACATAAATTCAGATGACATCGACCCAACACCGACGACGTATGCGACGAGCCAGACCGCGGTAAGGACGTGGCAGACAGCGTTCTGAGAGCTGAAGCCTGCTAGCAACATCGCTGGGGACGAAGCAGTACATGAGGACCAAGGGAGAGCACATCATTAGTCGAGCAACCCACCAAATATGAAGCAATTCAGGGACAGGCCAGCAAAGAACATGGGCATGACCATCGACGAGAGGTAAGACAAGAGGAAATAACCGCCTGGCTTGATTTGCTAATGATGAGTTAGTGGATGTTGTCAAAGAAAAATAATCCCTACCTCTTGAGTCCACTGGCGATCGGCATGTAGCCAACGTATCATGCCCAAGCCCGATGTCAACATTGCAATCATGGCCATCATGAGCGATATGAAGAGTAGAAAATAGGGGGCAGGCGAGGTGTAGTCAAAATACGGCGCGGGAGAGACAGTAGTCACGAAAACACCACTCGTCGCGAGAAGTAAACCGGCCTTCCGAAGTTTTAGACTGTGTAAGCGCCGGCGAGGAGTTGAATTGCTTACTGCGGTGATAGTGTTGGTCAGGATAGAGCATTGCCTTTCCCTAGCATTCTGGAACGCGTCCTCGGATTGCAGCGACTCCCAATGGGTTTCAAGATCGGGACGTCCCAGTGCAAAAAGACAGAGTAATCTCGTTACAAAGGACGCGTCACGAAGAGCTCCGGGAAGCATTCGGTCTTCAGCAAGTGTACTTTCGTCGGAAGTCCGAGCCCCATAAATGTTGGAAGCCTAGCGTAGTTCAGTCATGCAAGCCTAAGTCTTCCTACATTTTGAAAACGTACATCCGGTAAAGTCATGTCGAGCGGTCAAAGAGAAGAGTGCAGCTGGACTACGTATACTGCATCTTGACATGCTGGCTTATATGCGATTGAGAGTTTTTGAATACCCCGTGGGTACTAATACTTAGTAGTACTTTCAATCCAGAGGCGACCTGATCCGAAACAACGGTATCATGCTAAAATAGGTCCACCGTGGGCTATGTAGTAACTACAAAAGCCCGTAATATTATTCTCTATGTAGGGCACCAGATTCTCCTTGCTGTGCGACGTGCGTTAGACCCTTTGATTCGGAAGTTTTATAACAATGTACCATTACCGAATATGTTCGCGTGAACTTTAATCGTGCAGGCGTCAGTCTTCTGGTTCTGTGTAAACACTTCCGCCCTCGATAAAACAGGACTCACTGCGTGTTGTTCGGAGGTTTTGCCGATAACGGAGGTGGTTCCACTGCACGACTAAAGTTCACGCGAACATATTTGGTAATGGTAAGCCTGCACGACTAAAGTTCACGCGAACATATTTGGTAATGGTACATTGTTATAAAACTTCCGAATCAAAGGTCTAACGCACGTCGCACAGCAAGGAGAATGATATTATGGGCTCTTGCCTGCTCTTGCACTTAACTTACATAGCCGCTATCATCACGATGGACCTATCATAGCATGATACCGTTGTTTTGGTTCAGGTTGCCTATGGATTGAACTTAGTACTAAGTACTATTAGTACCCCACTCTGGCAGGCTGACAGTACCCTTCGACCGCAGTGTATCAGTAAGCTGATATAAGGTGTACTTGTGGTATCTACACTGCAAAAAAAAGATACAGATCAAGAAGCACCGACGAGAGGTTTTTGATTCATCCATGACGTCACTCAGTACTCATTATTAGTTGATCGGAGCTGTCTTCAGACCGAATTGGACGCAGCGCTCAGGCTGTCAAAATTTCCATTTCAGCTGTCTAAGACGGAAGAGACTCCACGGAATGTGGCAATATCGTTTCATGATTGGCTTCACTGATTTTTGTACATCTTGCTCAGAACTGCGTGTTAAGGAAGGTGAGGAAGTGGGATGACGGCTCTTAATATCTCCAACTCTTGCCCAGCCTGATGGGTCTTGGAGAGTTGTTACACATGGTCACAACATGAATCAGTCCGCAAAATTTGATAGTAGATAAACTTATGAACCAACGTGGTAATATTAAACAAACAACTGCACCTGGCGTCTATTTTCCAGCCCCCCGAATCGCATGATTCCGCCTGTAACCATGATTCACAGCAAGAGGTCATCTCCATCACTGGCAGAAGCGGATGTTCCGCCAGAGGTGCCTATACCACCAAAATTCCCGAATCCGCTACCCATTCCCATCTGGATTGAACCTGGCTTCTGACTCGATGCCCAAATACCAGCCTGGGCTTTCTCTTTCTCGAGATCTTTAATAGATTTACCAGTGTTCCCAGATTTGACAGTTGGGGTCGTCGATGATGTGCCTAGAGACAACGACCACAAGTCCTCAAAGTTCGATGACGATTTCGGGGCTGCAGCAGGTGAAGCTTTTAGGGGTGGAGCTGCGGGGATGATTGGGACAGCTGACATCGATGTTCGGACGGATGTCGTAGGCGACAGCGGTGTCGACGTAGACCACAAGTTGCCGGATGACCCGCCAGCAGTAGTAGGGAAAATTTGTCTGTTTGTGGGAGAAAGCGCCCTCGCAGAAGTGTTGGAAAATGCAGCGGGTTTAGGAATTTGTGATCCAAGTGATGGGCTCATCGTGGGTGTTCGATTGGCAGGAGGGCTTGTACTCCGTAGCATCTCCATCAACGTAGGCTTAGTGGGGAGAGAAGCAGATGCTGGGGCAGGTGAAGATAGTGCGGGTGAAGACGGCGCAGCTTGGAAATCAGCAAAATCATCATCTGCATGAGTTACATAAGTTATCTGAAAGAACCTTCTAATGGGCGCCTCACCATCGAGACTGACATTACCTACGGATGGAAGGGCTTTGTTCGTGTTAGACACGGGATTGACGCTGGCAGCGACCACCGGCTCGTCACTGAAGCCACCCAGGAGATCGACCTCAGGTTCTTTCGGCTTCGGAGGCGCAGGTTGCACCGGACGAACAGGAGAACCAACTGATTGTGTGCCCTGACGGGACCCAGTATGACTCCTACTGACAGAACCTGATCGTCTGACAACAGTCTCGTCATCCCCAGCAGTGTACTCCTCGAAGTCCTTTCTACCATTGCTATCTCTGAAACCAGAATTGCCTCCGTAATCTATCACAACGTGAGCAAATGATGAATTTTGAGATCTACAAGACTCTCACCATCTCTACCACTCATTCTGTCGCCATAATAGCCTCCACTTCCACTCGAGAAGCTATCGCTGCCAAATCCACCGAAGCGGCTGCCACCCGAGCTGAAGCTCATGGAATCGTTGCCAGTACCGACATATTTATGGCGATTGGTTTTCGCTTTCCGTCGCTCCGTGCGGATGGCATCTACATCGGACAATAGGTCTACCAGTTCACGGGCCCGGTTGCGGACTATATACGCAGTACGTCAGAGGTGTCGTTTGATTCGCAGTCAACTGCATACCATTCTGGCCCTCATCTTTGCCCTTGTCGTCTATGTAATGGAAATTTCTGAGCATCTTGAGTGTGGAGATGTGGGAACGAGAGTCATCGACAACTCTCTCACTGCCGTGTTTGATTAAGTATTCAAGCAGTTGGAGGGCCTGTGGACGTATGTTAGCGGGAGGGCTGGATAAAACACAACAGCCTACCTTGTAAATCTGTCTCCACTGCCGTGCCTCTTTTTCCATAAACCGGGCATATATACACGGCATGATCTCATTGAAGTTTTGGCTAGGGTACGTCAATGGGGCATACAGTCGGAACCCTGGAGTAATAGGCTTACAAGTTGAATGTCCTATGCAAAATGTCAATTGACATCTAATACGATATAAAAGTCACTAACCCTTGAGCAATTTCTTGCATTAATGTGGAACTAGGCGCCCCTAGCGTTGCCCGATGAGTCTACTATGCCCTGCATTGAGCTTGGTCGTGATATGCTTACCAAGGTTCGTCATTAGTCGCCTCCCTGACTTTGGATTCCATCTCGCTAACATTAAGCACAACATTTTTGGCCTATATCATGAACTATCAGCATGTGTAATTGCAATTGCCCTGCTCTTCGTTGCCACGTACTTGGTTGTACATGTTCTTGAGGTCGTAAACAGTCAGGTTTGACAGGGTACTCGCCAGGGAGTCGAAGCGATCCATGGTGGGCAAAATCAAGGACACAGCTGGCAGCTCAATGGAAAGCACGGTCACGGTCTGAATGTGCAGCTGCCACCGCCTCAGCTGTGGATTATGTAATCAATTGTCGATGATCATGTGATCTCGACGCGTAAATGGAGTCGACCCCTGCAGAAGGGGTTGATGCTGATCTAGTGGTTCTACTCGGAGAACTGATCTGGAACAGGGAACAGGGATTCTCTTGGCTCCGTCCAACTTGTCAACGTTCGTTGGATTGGCCACATTGGCGCACGACCGTTGCCTTCGTGCTGGTTTAGGTCGGCCTTTGTTACCCAGTTGCTTGGCGGTAGTGACGATTCGGGACGTGACGTCCTGTTCCTACTACTATCCCCGTGCCTCACCAGAACGGACGTTCAACGCATTCGATCCAGCACGTTATAATTGGCGGAGGGACTGTACGCCAGACGATTCTCGCATATGCGTCGCACTGACTCGCATAGTAGAAGTTTCTAGCGAGAGATGCACTCATTTCTCTCTCATATCCGAGGCCGAGGTATTGGTAACCATTCCACTGCCGCTCCGCCTTTGCAACCAGAAAACTGCTGCATCGTCCCGCCCACTCCTGCCCTCAGTTATGGTGTGGATTCAACCATCGAAACATCCCCAGCAGTGCGTCATGGCATAGACAAGAGGATTCTCGAGAATCCGAGTTCATACTTGGACATGGCTGATTCAGAATCTCTGCCTCGCAGCTTAACTCCAAGAACTCGGAGACACACTGTAGATGTTAGTAATTGGGGGCTTCGCAATATACTGCGGGCAAAACCCATCTCCGAGAGTGTATGCGAAGTGGACAAACCTGGGTCAGACTCACCGGCTCATGAAACAACTCTAAGCGAATCAAAATCAATTGACCACCTAGCTGCACCTGGGGACTGGTCCACGTTTGGTCGCCGACGAGTGCGCAGCTCCCCAATAGTACCAGAATTTGCAGACGTCGGTCCCACCAAAGACACTACCAGACGAACGTCACATTCTCCTTCGCTGAAGAGAAGTAACAGCAATAAGAGTGATGAAGGCCTCAGCTCAGCAGAAAGTTTGCACTCTATCATCAGCTCCCATAGTGTGCCACGATCCTCCATAGCGCATCGCGATACATTAGCACAAAAAAGCAATAGGGGATGTACTTTAACGACATCTGTCAATAATCACACAAGCAGCTCATCCATCCATTCCAAATCATCACCAACAGATATCGTGTCCTCTAGGCTGCATCCACGAACACCTAATAGACCACGATCCAATACGTCTCCGACAGCCCGCCCAACTGCATACTTCACTACACCTATCCTTCGCGAACTGGGATTCGACTCTCCCGGAACATTTGGCCATCCGACACCCGAGAGCCGGTCCACGTTTACGTTTGCATGTGCATCGCCCCCACCCCCTCTGCCCCCCTTGAACCACCCGGCTTTGTCATCCTACCTCAAGGACAAAAACGTTAATAATATCACTCCCACAGCATTAGGTTTCGCATCGGACCGATCCAACTCATTTCCCAAACGCTCATCACGGATCCCGTCTGGCATTGGTGATGATTTCTTCGTATCGCTATCAATGAAATTTGGCCGATCTGTCCGACGTTCTGCAAGCCTCCCGAAGGTGCAGGATGTCTTCCCTCCTTCCTCGGAAGAGCAGCCTGCTGCCACTGCACAACGCCTCCGTACACGAACAATATCCGACAAAGCACGACTCCGTCGACGCAACAGTGCCTCTTGGAGTGCACAACAAGCTACAGAAGGTGTCAACTCATCTTCAAACAATGCATGGCCCGCAGAGGTATCGCGCGAAATGCTGCGACTTTCGTTGGGTGAAGGACTTGACCTCGTCAAGTGGCCATCTGCCCAAAGTGGTGTCCCGGGTCCGGGGTCCGAAACACGCGGTAGCAGCGTGGCGCAATTTCCTAATCAGGCGCCCATATCACGATCATTTTCTCCATCACCTTCACCACTTCGACCACGCTCCCCAGCTCCCCAAGGTAAGTCCAGTGCTTACGGCATTCAGATATTGTTTTCTGCCACACATTCCGAATTCCGCATCTTCTCTCTCTTTGTATTCATCCATGTATTTTCTTATACGTTCACTTCAGTCCCTCGTTTCAGTCACTCACTCATTTGTTGTAGGCGGGGAACGTGCATCCCAGTCCCCATCCCCATCCCCATCTTCATCTCCATCTCCATCTCCATCCGCTAACCTTCCTCCTCCGACCCACCGCCCAACAAGTTACGTGGACCCGCGCATGTCTGCGAATCCAAATGGTACTCGCGTCGCTCCGGATGGCGCCACCTCGCCAAATTATACTCCTTCGAGACTAAACGTACCTGTGGGTCCAAGCAAAATACAAGGTCGTCCATCGTCTCAGTTTCTCCTCCCTCCCTCCATTGCTCCCACACCTGCACGTACTTCCCGCACAATCACCATGGATCCAAGTACCCCTACTCCTACCTCCCGTAACCATAGTGATAAGATTAAAGGCAAACGCAAAGCCGAAGACATAGACACCACACCGCCCGAGCAGAAAAAGGACGTGCAGCGCGCAACTTTCGCCGTCCCAGAGAGCCACCGAAGTACGTACCTTCCATTACGTCGCCTCTTCTCGACGGTTCCGAACGCGTATTGATTGCTGAATTTAATTACGCAGGTCAAAAGCTCTCTGCTTCATCTCACGCGCCATCATCGTACCACCGCAAGCGCGCCCGTATATCGTCCTCTCCTTTTGGCACCCCCATCCATTCGCGGCCTGTATCCACTCAGAGCCAGAGTATGAATTTAGAGCCAACACCCGAAGTGGGCAAGTTCGGTTCCTGGTCGAGCCGAACGAGCGCTCGTATCCTCTCTAGTCCTAGCGTACCATCTCATGCCGCGTCGTCCACTCATTCGACCCGCCCCCAACAAACCCCAAACAAGAACTCCCTCACCAACTCAATCACCCAGAATCAGAATCACGCGAGACGCCAAAGCATGTCTCAGGCGTCTATCCCTATCAGTGCGCTCGTGTCCCCGCATGCACCTTCAATCGTGCCATCTGGGAAATTCCACATGCGAGATCCTAGGCGCCCGCCGAAGAAACTTGCAGAGACGCCTTGGACGCTGCATTTTCGTGGGGAGGATGAGCCTGGGTCGCCTGTGCATGCGTGGTGCTTCTTTGTGGGATTCATTTTGTTCCCTGTCTGGTGGATCGCTGCGCTCTTTCTCCGCACACCGCGCACGCGTGTTGTTGGTGATGAGAAGGGAGTTTCACTGGATGATCCGCAGATCGAGCATGGTGAGTGATTATATAATGGAGTGTTTGGGTCCCGATGACGAATGTGTTGATGTAGACGCAAAAGCATGGCGGTTCCGGTGCCGTGTCATGTCTGTAGTGTCGCTGTTTACATACACCCCTTTCATCATTCTGGTGGTCTTCTTTGTCCGACGATAGCACTGCACATAAACAGGTCACGCACATTTTGCATACCAAGGACTTCACTCTTACCCGCAACGTCACATCACGTTTCTCATTACACTCACGACGTTCCGTTTTCTTGCTGCATACTTCACGCTCTATGCCAACCTCCTACGAACATTCCTTTCCATCGCAGTTTTCTTGTCCTATCCTGGTTCTGCGAACGTTCATCGACTGCATTCATTCCTTTCACTTACTGTCTTCACTCGTTTCTTGTGTTATTTGTCGACTTATCCGCGACCGCATTCCTAGAGTAGTCACCGCTATTAGTGTTGTTCATTGGTGTTGTGTTTTTACTAGTGTCATGGCAATCCAACTGAGGATTTTGGGGAAGCAAAAGCTTGGTCGAGTGCGTATCTGGGTAGATTACATATGAGTTGTAGTATACAAAGCACGAAAGTCGGAAAGCCACATTATATAGAGATACCCCTCCGAATCCCTCATTCCCTCCTCCAGTCCCGCGCGCGTGCGTGCTTCACTTCTGTACATGTGGGCGTATCGATGTAGAAGCACCAGACAATAGTCAGATGACGTAGTACTGTTACTTCTTTTCGGCCGCTGTCTCAATGACGGTCACCTCTTCCAATTCGGAATTGAGGAGCTCCAGTGAGTTAACGATGAGTACTAGTACTTGAGTCCTCTTTCACTACTCGTTCTGGGCCCTGCCGGCGCTCAAAATTTCATTCAAGTGCCTCATGAGTTGTATAGGGGTGGAAATAGTCATCGAGATTCGTGTTTGGGACGGAAGCTTACATAGTTTCCGCCGAGCTCTATGTAGATCCGGTCACATATAGTTCAAATGAATGACTCAAGAGTGCACACGGTTCAGCACATTCCTGTAACTGTCATTACATTGTAGCAAGCAACAGACTTTGCCACAAAAGCTGAGTCGAAATCCAACAGGGGTTCGAGGAAGTACAAGGTCAGTCAAATGTGGGGCGGATCTGTGCGCGATTGTAGTATATGGATACTGTGTGAAGTCCCGAAAGTCCGAAATCAAGTTCAGGGGGAAAGTTACATGACGCGACACTCTTTGTCTCCCTTTCTGACTTCCTGCGCGCGTGCTGCCTCTTCTTGCGCGAGCATAAGCTTCTCTTCTTCTGTGAGAAGACCCCTATTGGCACGCTCTTTCATGGCCTTGAGCCTGCTCGCGCGCTCCTCCTTTGCGCGTCTATAGGTAAGGATATATAGATGTTGATACAGCGAAACATTGGATGGATTGATACATAGTGTGATGTGAGATTAAGCAGATACGAAGATCGATGGGGGAATGAAAGACATTGGATCGAGGAAATTTGACGAGTTTGATTTGGTGCAGTTCGTAGGTTTGGGAGATATGATCGGCGAGGGAGGTTTAGTTGCGAACAAAGGCGATGCAGATGTGGACGTAGGGGAGGTAGATAGAACGGGGGCAGGAGAAACGCTGGTGCGTTATGAGTGGATACTGAGATGAGGAAAGCGGACATGTACTCACCGATCAGTCTTGGAGAATGCGTTTGGGACAGAGACGGAGACTGGGATGGAAAACTTGGAAAAAGATGGTGTTGATGTCGGTTTGGAAGAAGGAGCGGGTCTGGATACAGCCATGGGCGCAGATTTGGCTGAGGATGAGCTGGGAGTGGCTGAAACAGGACTCGGTCTGATAGATGGCTTAGAGGTGGAACTGGTGTTCGGCCGTTGTGACGTGAGCGACGGACAGCTATGATCATTTGGGAAACGGTGCTGAGGGCAGAACTCTTTGTGGCATTTCTGTATGATTTCCATTAGTATCATTACATACATCAAATTAACAGATGTTCAACTCACATCACACCCGATGGGTGCAAATAATACCTTACCGCACTTTCCCCTGGCACATATCTTGCTCCCACCCTTTCCTTGCTGTCTACCGCTAGCATTCATCACCTCGCAGAAACGGCTGATGTGTCTCTCCATGCGCACGTTCGGGTCCTCGCCGGGCGGAATCGCGACGGGAACGCTACACAGAGGGCAGTTTGGTACTACACGGTCCAGGTGAGCGTGGGCGGTAGTGCAGTGTGGATGGAAGTGCTCCGAGCAGAAGGCAGGAGTGCCTGGACAGTGTGGACATTTGAATGGAAGGAAATCGAGGAGAGAGCAGTGAGGGTATGAGCAGGGCGTTCCGAGGCCCAGAATTTGGGTTTCTTGTTCATTGGAAGACATCGTGTGTTTGGTGGTGATGGTGGTGGTGGTAGTGGTCGACTTCAGAGCTTATAAAGGCCAGACGCGCGTCCCCCGACAGTGGACACGCAAGCACCCCTCACAGGGCAACGTCAAGAACCTTCTCCGACTGCTTATGTCATCTACAACCTGGCTTACTAACGAATCGCTCTCGGAGTTTGAATCATCTTCATAATGATGCACGTCACTTACACTGCTTACTAATGGCTACTATACCTGGCCTAACACTTTTGTGTTCACTGGCTGGTGAACCCCAGTCAAAACCCACGACAGCCTCAGCCAGGCTGATCCATGTCCCAAATTCCTAATTTGGGTTTCAGTGCCCTTTAAGGCATTTCAATATTCAAAGACCGAGCATGCATTGATAGCGCTTCCAATAATAGAGTTGCAATCATGATGGCAATTGCCATTGCAATGCATGGTAATATACTTAGGCATTGTAATGAGCTATTTGGACAGGAAGCCAAAATGACCTTGAAACCAGGTTGCAATGTCAAGTAACTCATTGTAATGACTTGAAATCAATGTTTTATTTGTAATTTTGATATTTTTTATTTTGATATCTATCTAATACATATTGTAAGAATGGAGCATTCACATATTCAAGGTGATCCAACACCTGTCAATGTCTGCATATGATTTACAAAGTGTGGTAGAAAGCAAGAATCCCGAATTGACCATTGCAGAATACATTGATCTCAGGCTGCTATAGCTGGCACAGTGTACCAGGGTGCTGTGCAAGGGAGGACTATTTTGGCAAATACACCTATACAGTTTTGATAGCCAAAGGCTTTTGTGAATACGGGGAGAGTGGGTGGGTGGAAGAGTCAGAGGAGAGCAGCGAAGACAAGGGGGAATGTGTAGTGGATAACACCATATGGGAGCCAAGCAATGATATTGAGGACTGGGTGTGTGTAGTGAGTGAGGATATCGCTTATGTTTGCACCGTAGAGGACAGATTCGAGAGTTGGGAGGAGGGCAACAGTTTGATGACGAGCAAGAGCGTGGTTATAATCAATGGATATACCTGTGCGAGAACAAATGAGAATCATGTCCCACAAGATAGTATCAGGAGAGAAGGAATTGTCACTGCGAAGAAATTACTCACCAGACGGTTGTTGACAAAATTGGGTGATGAGCAATGAAAGGGACCCGGAATGGTGGTCAGATGTTAGGGCATTGGGATGGATGTGGGTAGATCATGCAATGGTATGGACAGAGGAAATCTATGGAAAATGGTGACCCATAATCATAAATGGAGTGCTCGTGAGCTTCTCTAACCCATAATCATGAATGGAGCGCCCATGAGCTTCTCCAATGCACCTGTTACAATAAGAAGCAGGTAAGTAAGCTTTCCAATCCATAATGATAGTCTAAGAGTACTCACCAGATGGTCGTTCACAAGATTGGGCAACCCATAATCATGAATGGAGCACTTATGAGCTTCTCCAATGCACCTGGTACAATAATAAGAAGTAGGTAATAACTAAGATTTCCGGACCATAACCATGATGAATAGACTCACTGGACAGATATTCACAAGATTCTGTGATGTCATATAAGGTCCAGGTAAAATAATAAGAATTGTCTGTCAATTAAATGAATCAGCTGCAAGTGGATCTAGATCGTCGGTCCAGGTGTTCATGTGACCAAGGGTAAAATTGCTGTTGCCTAGAAGCTCTACAGATCAAAAGTAAGGATAGCTAATTTATACCACTTGATTATTAATATGAGAATGTCCTCGACAAGTAGGACCCTGCTGAGTTGCAACCTTCTTCCCCCTGTTAGTCTTGGACTTTCCTCGTCCTGACACTATGTTAGTTTTGTCTGCATCATCGGGTACTGCCTCAACACTTGTCTCCAATAAATTGTTGGCATGAACAGCAGCGCAATGAGATGCTGATTCTTCTAAATCTGTAGGCTGGTTGATGGGATATGGACCTTTGGGCACTGATAAGACTGGTGCTGCTGAGGGTGCCGACAAGATTGGTGGAGCATCTTCTTTGCTATCAGTCTCTATGTCAAGCGCCAACATGGTGCGGTTAATCTCCTCGAAAAAATCTTCTGTGCTGGCAGGATCCAAGGTGGATGATGACTTTGCACCACCAAAAACATAGTTGTTGATATTGGCTATAATAGTCTTGATCCATGTTGTGTCCCGCTTCATAATTAGTAACTTCTTGTATTGAAAGAAGAGGTTCTTGTAGTTGAGAGTTAAATGATTTTCCAACTTGCGAACCTGGAAACTCCGTGTCCAGTGAGAGCATAAATATAGCCTGTGTTACAGCATATGAGTATTAGAATCATTTGATGCAAGATAAATAATGTATGATAACTGCAGCCCACACAATAGACCCTGGTGTGACTTGTTGGAAGCTCCACTTATGAGCATTAGTCTTCGATCCGCCACATGGCTCTTGATGGAGCGAGGTGACACCATGGAGTGAGGCCCTCAGAATCTAGATACACCATAGTAATAAGTATAGACAACAGCACGATCATGTCATGAGAGAATAGTGCACCTTAGAAATGAGTGTCCAATTGCCAAAAACAGTCTTGAGGGTTGTGTCTTCCTACAGACTTGGGAACAAGAGAGGCAGAAAGATCTTGTAGGGCTGAGTCTTGCCAGAGACTCTGAGCATCTTCTGAATGTCAACGATGCCGGCTCTGTCATAATTGGCATTTGCAAAGTACTTTCCCAGAAGGTCAAATATATCTCCAGCAATGCCATGCAGTTTTCTGATCTCATTAGAATGAGCATTAGTGATGCACTTATTGACCTATGACAACCGGAATAGATCAGATAACAGCCAACAGAACAAAAAGCAAAGTATTATGACATACCAGGTCTTTGAAGTATATACTTCCCATTACTGCTTTGTGGTTACGTCCAGAGAAATGGATGTAGAGTTCATCTAAGAAGGCAGACTCTTGAGTTGCCAGGGTCTTGTAACAATCAATGCTATCAAAAGGTGTAGGTGAATCTGGGCACTTCTTCATGAGAAGTTCGCTGTCCGGAAACATCTCCACTGTCATGTCATATCTACGAGCATACAACAAAATAGTTTGCTCATGAGCGACAAGTGCATCTAGTGCCTCTACATGTCGTTTCTGTTTGGGCTTCTCAGCAACAAGAACCTTGTTGTTCTTCTTGAGGGCACAATTGTCTTCACACAGTCACTGAAGTTCAAGCTGTAGTGCTTTGAGTGCCTGTATTGAGGAGAGTGTCAGTTTCAATTAGACATAATGAAGTTAGTCACTACATACGTCCATGAGTTCTCCCTTGGAGGCATTGGGCCCTGGGATGATAGCAATCAGATCAATGTCATTGCCCTCGTCCCAGGCATCATCTGAATCATCGCCTGATATCAGCACTGATAGATGAGACATATCTTAGATGTTCAGTGACAAGGTGAGGAAGGGAAAAAATGGCATGATGCACCTATATAAGATGAGATATTAATGCTGCCTAATACCTCATGTGCCCTAGACATAACATCAATTCAGTGTTGCATGTAATATCAGAGGCGAACTGCTGCGAGGCACGTAAACAAGAGCATGCCAGAAGGCCACATGTTGATGGATGATGGGCGTGACTTACTCAGACTAATAGGCATCGCCTCTCATAAGATTCTATAAACTTTAAATGGTCAATCTTATTGCTGCATGCATGTCAGAAGGATCCATCACTCACAAAAGAACATAATCTATACCCTGGTTCCATCGTCAAAACTCTTTCAAACATCAATCATAGTGATAGCCCGGCACTGCCTATTAGTCTAAGGTTATAGAGCAATTGCATCAGCGGTGGTTGATGGCACTTACCTCACTACAGACAATGCTGATTGACTTGCAGCAGGACGATAGACCCTTCAGTTCATGGAAGGTCTGTTCCATGAACCATTTCGCAGTTGCTGGCCATTCTAGAGTCTAGGATTGCCTAGGACGATAGACCCTTCGGTTCATGGAAGGTCTGTTCCATGAACCATTTTGCGATTGCTGGCCATTCTAGAGTCCAGGATTGCCTAGGACAATAGACTCTTCGGTTCATGGAAGGTCTGGTTGATGACCTTCCATAAACCATCATGATTGCTGTAGTAGATCAAGAATCAAATCATTGTGTCCCATGCATTCTGATGTCCTAGACTTACCAATACTGCAGAATTTCCATTGGGTATACATCAGCACTAGGAGGACCTTGCATGCAATGAGCAAAGTATTGATGAACTGGTGTATGATTTGGTTGCTGACTCCGCCGAGTCATTGGGGAGGCCAGTGTAGAAGGTGTTCAAGAGTAAGGGGAGGGGAAAACTAGATGTGCTATCTAAAGACCCTGATGAGTGACATGCCACAAGTGAAGAAAATGAGCAGGCATACCAGGCAAAGGGGGAGGAAGACAACTTGAAGGTATGCTATCAAACATGTATTGGATGTCCTGCCTTAAGATGTAGTTCCTTCACATGAAGGAACATATCAGTGTCGACGGTGTCGACAACAAGGTAATCAGTACTACCATCTGGCATGAGGAAGGCTCCACAAATGATTGACCTTACTGAAAAAAACTCAGCTTGTGCGCGGGGTCTTGCTCGAACACAATAGTAGTTGAGGTGTTTGTCTTTTTGGAGCCGGATGCCAGTGGGAGCATCAAACGGATGAATGAGAGCTAATGAGAGAGTAATATCTCCCACTGCACATTCAAACAGAAAGAGCAGGTGACCAAATATCACCTTGTCTGTCATCTGAATGAAAACACAATCAAAACACAGAGTACCATAGAACTTGGGATTGCATCAAAGATAGTCTGTGTGTTGTCACCAATCCACCATGGACTCATAGTTGACCTTCAAAAATGGCACTCAGTAATAACCTGTTTGACCATATCACTATAGCGAAACAGAATCAGACTGAATATAACGAACCTTATCACTTGCTTGGAATCGGACCCGCTTTCCACCTGGTAAAGGGAGTCAAATAGCTAGTGAGCTCATGTACAGTTTGGGGAAGTTCCAATTTTTATTGCTTTTGTTGGCACTCTTGTCTATGTATTGCTATTATAAGTTCAATGAATGAATGATCATCTGAGGGAACACGAGAAGACATACATGTAGATAGGTCGAGAAAGCTTGTATTGCATGCCGGCCGGCACTGATGATCTCAGTTGTGTGAACTCCAAGTGCTGCATATGCATCGAGTTTGAGAAAGAGGCAGATGCAATGGAGTAGGAGGTAGCCAAGCAGACAGTCATCCTCTGTCAAAATCGTGTGTGAAGCGTGGATCACCATCTAAAAAAGAGTGTCAGTGGCAATCAAGTAGAAATCTGAATCAAAAATGAACCTTGGATATGTCCTCATACACACTGCTATCAGTGAAGGAAAGGTTCATAACCTGAGCTAGGTGCTTCAAGTTCTGCCAGCATGGAAAGGCTTCATAACTAGTTTAATGAGTTAGTTTGGGATATATATTTTATAGTGCTCAAGTCGCAGACATACTTTTTGTTCATTTGTGCTACTTTTGCTCGTCCCAAACCGACAATGATTTTTTGTAGTTCAGCCCAGAGATGGTCATGATATAGACCACCATTGAAGTGGAGTCGATCCCACAACAACACATCATGTATATCAGTGTACATCACAGTCGCAAAGGCATTCTACAGCTTTGTTTAATCAAAAATGAATTTACAAGAGGAAATCTTACTGTGATATCATGAAGGCCATACTCTTTTAGTTTTTCCTCCTTCTCCTTGGCAGTTTCCTTGGCTTGTGCAGCCTTTAAGACTTCCTGGGACTGAGCACATGTTCAATGAGGATGACACTTCAATGTGTCCATAAGTTTGTCATGGGGAACAAGACAGACTGGGCATGGCTAAAGGCATTTGATGCCTCAAATCAGCGACATAACACATCTTATATTGTCAAGTACATTATCCGTTAGCAATTTAGATTAATATGGAAGCATGACATTACTCACTGTTCCTCATAGTCAGCCAATAATATTAGGATCAAAGGAAAGAACCACCATTGAACACTATCAAGGCACTCGAACCATTGTCCCATGTGAGATTTTGATGCTAGCGGAGAGAGGATCTTTAAGAATGACTAGTGCCAAACAGCATTCTTGAAGTTGGCCCAGCTTGGCTTGCCGGCATGGTCTCTGTCTTCCTTCACCTGTGCCAGAGTGTCAGTCCTAATGGTCAATATATTAATACTATAGCCATGTCATATGATCAGAAGCCATCCAACTACATAACCGCTGCCTACACCCTGTCCATTACAAATGTCTGTAGGTAGGTTTGCTAGACACGCAACAACAGGATATCCTCTTGCAGTACTGAATGAGGATAACCTAGTTTTGTCAGCATACACAATGAAAGCTAAGGGCTTGCCACCCAGTGGTAGCTGAGACTATGAGGCAAATGAATATGATCAAATTCGCCACTGGTGACATCAATACACACTTGAACATTCCAAAAGGTGTTGGCAGTGAAAGGTTCATCTGTAAAATGTACAAAAGTCTTGCTATTGAACTTTGAGAAGCGCTGCACATCAAAAACCATATGTGGGAACAGTCGAGGATCGCGAAGGAGATCGGCTGTCCACTCCCAGAGATCCCGATAGTATAAATCGAATTGTTGGATTGTATCATTGTATGGTACAGAAATTATGTCCTGAGTAAACTAATAAAACTCGGGAGTTGTCAGGAATTGATGTCAGAAAGAACAAACCCCAGTGACGCGATTGGAGACAGCATCCCATTTGTTGCGGATGTCTTTGTGGTTCTGAAACGTGAATTTTTCCTCCCAGGAAGCGCACCAGTTACAGAACTTGATAAGATGATCAGTTTGTTCATTATTTAGGCAAGCCTCCAGAGCAAGCTCAGCAATCTCAAACTCCAGTTGTGATTTGAATGGAGCCCAAGGGCATTTGTCAGGTGACGTAGATGTCAATGGTGTTGGATGGTGTAGCACTCAAGCTCATGCTAGGCTCATATTCAGCTATTTCATGCATCATGTCAAATGTCCATCGCACTATATTCACTTCCCGACGCAACCCAATACATATCTGCTGAACCCGACACTTTGACCAGCGGACCTGACACATTGGCCGCATCAGGACCCGACATTTTTCCTGCGCACTTGTCCTATCCGTGTCTTATCTTGTCAGCTAGCCCCACTAGGTGCGTAGTTGATTATTTTGCACATTACTCATGTTGTAGCCAGCACTATTACATGTTTTCCCATAGTCCGCAGCGCCTCATGTTTATTTACATGTACATCGGACCCGAAATTCTTCGGCCGCTACTTTCGCCTATAGGGTTCTGGATTTCTATGTACTTATATATATATATATATTGGTTTCCACATAGCATATGGATCATCCAAGTAGTAGGGAGCCATTTCCCGATGCTTTGTGGTCAAACCTGATATTTCGTAGTTCTTAGTTGACATTGCAAATATTACCGCACTTTCTATCCGAAACACCCGTCCTTATCAATATTCCACATATCGCTCACTATACCCAATGATCATTTTGCAAACCCGACACAAACCTGCCGAACCCACACCCGAAACCCACTAACCTGCTAAAACCTGAAAAACATCGGCCAACGCTTAGGTATTGGACTCGTAATTATACCTTCGGATTCTGTTTCTCGCATTCGGACTTTTGACGCTTTATCGATTGACTAACTATAGACTTATTCCAATAGCAAACCCCTCAGGTTGAACACACTTGTCTAGCAAGTATAGCAGACTAGGCTGTGCAAGACCACTACAACATTTTATATTGCTGACACTTACTTTGTACAGTATCAAGCATTGTTAAATCTTTACAACGGCATCTGAAATTGTTGAAAGCATGTACTTCCTGCTGCTGGGATGATATTCACACTTGATGTCATCGACCTGGAACATTGGGTCTGCATGTTCAGGGATGTCGACATCAAGAAATGAGGTAGGTTCTAGCAAAGTTTTGATGGTGAATAACAAACATAATTAATGATAATCTGAGCTTACCATTGAGCTCCACGTCGTCTAAATCATTCCAAGTGCCTGGTGAGACATGTTGTCCTGTTATAACTTGAATATGATTAAAAAACACACTTAAGGGCACTTACCTCTCTGTCCTGATACTGTATCAGTATGATCTCCTCTCAAACTTTGTCATGGATTTGAGGGACCCACTATTATGAGTAGAATTAGAGACTGTAGATAACGAGAAAATGTGCATACCTGTTGTAGTGTTTCTTTGAATGGAATCCATGAAATGTTGATTTTGCCATTGTTTCTCGGCTTTCTTCTCACAAACCTTGTGGTGAGTGGTGTAACCATGTGGCTTGATGTCTTGTTTACACAAGTCACAATATTTTGACCTCTCAGGGCCCATTTTGTCGACAGGTACAAAGTTATGTACACAGGTAGAAGGAGGGAGGAGAACACTCAAGAATGCTGTGAAAGAGGAATTCAAGTGAGTAAGAAAGTGAAACACATATCAATCACGTTGGATGTGCATTGCAAGTGATTGAAACCCCGCCATCAATCTTACAGCAAGGTTGTAAATGTGATTGTAATGTGATTGTAATGTGATGTGAATGGTTCCTAATTACAATTGTTTTAGGAAATCTGCGACACAGCCTGCTTAGGAAACCTGGCTGAGCATGAATATTTGAACCATTTTGTGGATATCCCTGTATGATTTTACCTCAAATAGGGCAATGTGGATAGTTCTGTTTAGATGTGGATGCAACAAAATGTAAGATGTGCTTGTATTACACACACAGGGACAATGATATGCAGACATGACAGTGACGTGGGAACAACAGTTATGCAGAAATGAGAAGCAAAACCATAACAATACAATGACAGTGATGCAACAATGATGATAATAGCGGTAACAATGATAGCTATGCGGAATAGCCTGGGCACAATCTAGAGTGGTGCTGATACCATTGAGTCCGCTGCCATTCCTACCTTGCTGCCAGTGATACTAGGCAATGGAACAGTGCAAGCTCTTGCCTGTAGACTGGTTAATGATGTGAAACATTGACTATGCATGGCATGCTCACTGTTTGCGCGAGCGCAAGCTTATCTTGATGTTTTTTTTTCTCATCCTTGTTGAGCTCTCACCAATAATTCTCAAACACTGCATTTATTCCGCCTGTGTTGGAGGTGACCCAATCAATAGTGCATAGACTCCTGTTTTAAAATGATTAGAATCAGCATAGAGTTCACGGTGAATGGGAGACTTGGACACCTACTTTGCAGTTGTTCTACCATGTACCTCCTTTGTTGCATTGGGGTCCTTTTTCTTTGGTGCAGTCTTATTAGATGCCATCGTGGTGTCCACATCAATGTTTGTGACTGTGCTGGATGAGTCGACAGTGGTAGGAGGCAAGGTACTTGCATGGGCAGACACATTTTTGGCTGATATGATGGAGTTTGAAAGAAGCTGGATGAAAGTCTGATTCCTCTCGGAAGTTGGAGGGACAGTGGTCACGTCATTGATGGCATCATTAACTGGTAGTACTTGCCATATGTGCAACAAGTTCGGCTGTTGATGATGATGTGCTCATGCTGCTAGTGCTGGCAGGTAGTGTAGGGGGGAGATTCAAGCAAGCGCCTTCCTTTGGTTTAAACAACCCTGTTAATGGATTGACAATCTGCCAGTAGTGGATACAATTTATTAGTGTAGGTCAGATAATGAAAGAGAGCTAACTTGAACATCACCTTTACCACTCTGGGTGCAATGTTAGGGAGAGCATCGGAAGTTTCATTGGAGTCATTACACATATCAACTTCATGTCACAGAACATGCTTTGATTTCATACTAGCCTGCTTTGCAAGGGAATTTAGTATGAGAGCTGTAGATCCAGTCACAGTATCGACATGGTCATCTTTTTTCTTCTTTAGGTGTTGTGTAGATGGTGAAATGGTAAGAGATTGTGGGCACTTTTGAATTCATGGTTGCTGCAAGCGACATCTCACAAACATTTTCCTGTTTGATGGTACTTTGAATGGTATTCCCCGGTTCTCTCAGCCTATGTGTCTACTGTGGGTAATGTTGGATTGCAAGTTGGTTGGTTTTCCAGTCAGAGTCACAAAGACGGAAGTGGGCAAATTCATTTCACATTGAGAGTCAAACAAATTCAAATTCGAGTGCTTGAATATCAATCTTGGTCTACGAGGTGGGTGTGTGCCCATGCTTGAGCAGAGTAAACCATAGGGTATGCAATCAGTCATGAATTTTTTGCTGAATGGCCACAGATGCAACAACACCGTTGTAGAAGAGGAATCTTGACTATAGGCGAAAAACACTTAAAACAAATGGGTGCTCTACAGCAAGACCAGGATACGAGACGACAACTCGACCCAAAGGACAACCACTGAGAGAAGTTCCTCAAAATAAAAATTGGAGAGAGACTGTATGAGCTAGGCGGGCGCTAGCAGGTGCGAGAAGGTAATGCATGCGAAGGCACACATATGCAAGGCGAAGGCTGCACGAGATGCGCGCATGAGCAGGAGGTTCGAGAATGCGCGCGCACGAAGCGAAGGCGCACATAGAACGTTAAGGGAAAGGCCCTATTTGAAGAGTGGATGCACAGATGGATGGTTGACAGGTGAATCAGATCAGATATTAAGTGAGGAGGTGATCTATACACTTTCCAGTACACAAAGATAAGGGGAAAGTAAGTACCAGAACCCCAAAGATTCCCTTCTCTATTTAAGAATGGAGATTACACTATGCAGCGTGCTTCCGAGCGCGCTCCCGAACCGAGTAACCATATCAACTCTAATTATAACTAAGTTTAAATAGACTTTCTATATGTAGCGCAGATTTCAGACCGAAGATTTGTTAGTTCAATGAAGGAGATAGGAATAACGCACCAGCAAATCAGTAAGGACATGGAACGAATGGACGGACGATAGCGCGAAGACCTAGGAGGAGGCGCACGAATGTGTGCGCATAGCGCTGAGCGCAGATAAGGCGCGTGTAAATAGGGCGCGCGCGCGCAGACTGGTCCTTTGGATTAGAGCTGGATCATATAGGAATGTATGGATAAAGGCCGGATACTCGGCATTGAGACGCGCGAGTCTCTACACCGTGTTCATCAACCAGATAGAGAGCAGACCCACCATCATCCATGTACCTCACTTTGAGGACTCCACAGCCACCATAATATTCCTTGGTCCATTCATCCTTGTCCCAATAGTACACACCTTCATAGTCTTCTCTGTTGAGAGTTGGGATTAAGGCACTTGCCTTGCGTGCCATCTTGAGCATCTCATCGAATGAATCTGGGGCCACATTATTGTTGTTGCTGAGAAAGGTGATGCACTCAAGAAGTTGCCCATACATAGAGCTAAAGAAGAGATCAGCCTGATAAATCACAGTAAAAAAAGTGACTTGCTTTGAAACCTCGAGCTTACCCTCAAGGGATGCCACTTGCTGCTGGAGGGACATAATCTGCTGCTGAAACTTGTCTACTCTCTACTCGCGATCTTGCTTATCCTTCTTCAGCAAGGACATTTCACTGTGATCTTTGAATTCATGTCCATATGTGCCAAAACCTGACTGCTGGCTATATGTATGTGAAAACTTTGTGTGCAAGCTGGAAGCATGGCGAGAGTCATAAGACAGTGAAGAGAAGCTGTCAACAAAGGAGTTGCCACTGTGAGATGTATCCTGCATAATATATTGCTACTAGTTAGAGGTGTTATCTATGAGAAACACAACGATCATTCACACTGGGATAATACCTATCGAATTCATGTGATGTAGGCCTTCTCCTGTGAGATGAATCTTCGAAGTTGTCGTATAATCCAGTGTGTAGTACCTTGGGTGATGGGAGAAGTGCATCAGATGTGTCATTGGAAGACCTGTAAGTATCTTGCTGAAGGTGGTGTGTATCACAGGGATACATTGGGAGACTAAGTCATATGGTATGGGGCACTGTCATACACATGGCCTCCAAGTCTGCTCATTGCAGTGCAGAGTGACCAAGTTGTTTACCTTAGTTTTTGTGCATGTTGAAATCTTCTAAGTCCAAGTGCTCCAGGTAACCAACATATGCCATAGTATCATTATAAGTTCAAACCTCCCTCCTGCTGTGCAATGATTTTTTAATCTACCATCAGATTCTGATCTTGATGAGTATCTCAACAAAGACCTAAGGTAAGTCATTTGGAGTTCTGTATCATTACTAACTTCTGGTCTTAAAATTTGTATAGTCTCGATCACACAGACACTGCCAGTGGTAGTCTCTCTAGCAGTCCTCATCTACATGATTCGGATCTTGTGCTTCTGGACCATGAATACTGGAATCCATCTCAGCTATACCTTGTCTTCCATCACATCTTTGGTCATTCCAAGCAGGTACCTACTTAAACCAACAAAGAAATTGATTGAGTAGCTGACCTGTAGGTACCTTCCCATTCTTGCTGAATCTATTAATCTTTTGGTTATATTTCACAAGCTTCAGCACACCAAAAAAAGCATCTAGCAAGGCTCCCCCCAGCACCAGCAGCATCACTGAACCCGAATACAACTGTCCAAACATTCCTCTTGCTATTATAACTACGACTTCAAAGGCCCCTCCCAGCACTGGCAGTGTCACTGAACCTGAATCCGACTGTCTAAACACTTCACTTGCTATTATGACTATAACTTCAAAGGCCCCTTCCAGCACTAGCAGTGTTACTGAACCTGAATCAGACTGTCCAGATATTCCACTTGCTATTACAACTACAACTTCAAAGGCCTCTTCCAGCACTGGCAGCATCACCAAACCTAAATCGGATGACCCACCAGTGTCTCATGTTACAGTAGCAGCTAAACCAGAGTCAGATGGAAGTATTATAGAGCTAGAATCTGACAACATTGCTATGGTGTCACCTATCTCTAAGTCCACAGCTCATCTCGACCATCACTGTATGTTTGTGACTCCAAGTCTACCACCTGCAGGTTTGCTATACTGGAAATATTTCACCAAGGAGGAAGATGTGAAAATGTATGACCACTCTGAGACAGATAAGAATTTTTAAGCTGTGTGACAGATGAAAAAAGAATTACAGGCACTTATGGATGCATAGTCCCTTTGTTTTACCAGACGTAATAATCATTATCATTATTTCCAAGTCCTAATCTAATTTTAATGAGTCAACAAACTAATTACAATGCCTGCTTTGACAGATTTTGATACTGGGTGTGTGTGGGGGGTTTTAATTATGTAGGTTGGTTATCCTCATCATCCATGTCATCCTCATCCCAAAGGATCCCCCCTAGGTTTGCAAGATCCATACCAGGCTTTTCAAACATGTAGAATCTCTCCTCTCCTGTAAGTGCGTATGGAACCATTACAACGATGGACTGGATGAATGGAACCCTAACTACCTTAAGCTCTACTTCCCCACAATGCATGCAGGAATAGAATGTGTCGCTTGAGTCTTGTAAGAGGGCCCGGTCAGGAGGAGAGTAGATGGTGACAAGAGTGAGAGGTTCAAGAGTATGTACATTAGTGTGTGTTCTGATCTTAAAGAAAAATAACACTTAGGCATAGTACAAGGCTCTTGCAATAGAGAGCTACAAGAAACATTAGTGGGAATGTAAGATAGAGCTAAAGACATGCATACCTTTACATTGCGGGCATGTCGAGCATTTGCTCAAGTTTCTCTCTGTGAAAAGACTGAGCGGCTTTGTCCATTGGGAAGTTGGAGGCAAGCCCAACAACAAACATGGAAGCACCAATGTGGATCAAAGAAGACATACTCAGGAGAATGTGGATAGAGTACATCAAGGAAGGTCTTGATTGTGAGACCCCTCAGCAAAGGTGGTAGCATGGCGAGAGTCTTCCTATAGCTTCAGTAAAGCATACCCATTTTCAAGGTCCTTGGACCATCTTGGAAATAAGAGCTGTCCATAGTCAGGATTGAGAGTTGGGATCATTATCATCAATGAATTATGTTGAGCTCAATGAATAGCACACTGTGTGAGGTTAGTGTATGGGTTTGATGGCTAATGAATCTTACCAACAAGATTCCCAATCAGTCCACTCCATAGTCCACTGTGAAGTACATATAAGTGGGCCTTTGATTGTGACTTCATTAGCATAGTGTCCAAGGGCATGAATACTTTGCCGTACAAAGTGAATTTGATCTACCCTGTGCTGGTAGTAGAGCTGCTTGAATTCCTCGATGAATTCAACAAACAACCTAGCAGCAACCTGAAGCTCCTCACATGTTATGTTGTGCTGCAAAATTATGTGAACAGCACAGATGAGTTTACAGAAATGTTACTAGTAGGGAAGTGGGAGGATATTGTGAAGAACCAAAGGACCTATATCATATAGGAGGAGAGTATACTCCCATGCCTTATAGCCACTGTTGATTTTTTCGGCTGGGTTTTAAGGGGGGCGATCAAAGAAACCTAGGAGATGTAGAGTAGTTGCAGTGACAGCCTTACCAAAATCCTTCCAAACAGTTCCAGTGAGAACTACCCAGGTCCAAGTAGACTTGTCATTATTAGTGTCACATTTGAGTGTGCCATGCCAAAGTGGGATCAAGAGGTCGGAAATGTTGAGGGAAATGAGGTGCATAATATCAGATCTGAAGCAATTTGGAACATCAAATGTGTAATCAGATGAGAAACCGAGAAACATACTTGGTTTCGAGATACCAGTGTCCAAGCAATACTTATTGTATTGAGCTTCATTAGGTGACAAAAGTACATACATAAGATTCTTCCAGTATATATCTAGAGAGCTCGTAGGCAAGTCTCTAATGTCAATGTCTGGATGGGTGTAGCCTTCAATGTTATAGTCAGGGGGTCTTGTGTGGGCTGGGTAATAGTGTGGGTATCCAGCTTTATGACGCCCTCTGGTGCCACAGTACAGCCGATAGCCATTTTTTCTGTAGTGAAACAAGACCATTGAGATATGTGAGTCCAGGACCATTGGCAGTTCCTAGTGCTAGGAATGGCAATGATTAGCAGTTGATGTGCATTATAAAATAAACTGCTACAAGGCTACAGAAACATGGTTCCCTATACTGATTCAAATGCTACCAGCCACAGTAGAGAATACAGATAGAACCTATGCTGTGTACTGGCCTATATGATTTTCTTGCATGTATGCATGATTGACCTACAGGGTCTGGACAATATCAGATACAATGTTTGTATAATTAAATGCAGCCCATTTTTTCTGAACTTTGCTAATACACAACGAAGTTTTAGTCATTAGAAAGCTAGAGATATATTTGCTAACTTTTCTTAAATAAATATCTTTTTTCAGCTCAATTAATAAAGAAGCTTTGTTCACTATATATATTATGATTTTCTTCATTGTAGACTTAAAACTTTATCAGTGCCAGATGTTTTTTGTATCATATAGAAGCTATAATGGATCGGATTAGGAAATAGATAGCACAAATATAGCAATAGACTGGACCTACTTAGCTCTTAGCCTAACATATCATTTAATCTCTTATTTACTAACTGGGAATTACTCACCCAATATGTACTTATCTTCCTTTTTCTTAGTGCTAGCTATTATTTCAAGTATGATCTGACACCAAGCAATCATTAATTTTCTAGGCATATCACTGCAGGTTAGGATAGACACATATTTTAATTATCTTATTTATTTCAGACCTAGAAATACTGTTAGAAACTACTTAAGCTAGGTACAATAGCTTGCCTTATATTAGAAGTTATAATTAAGATATTATTTTTGGATATCCTTATTATTATTCTCATAAACCTTATGTGCTATGTTGTTTTTTCTGCTGTTTTTCTGTATTTAGATACAGTAGCTTAAAAAGTGTTAGTTTTAAATATAATTGATTTAATATAAGTTAGGGTGTAGGAGTATAACCAAGCTATATGGAGATGTTGGAAAGCTCTGCTTTTTAGCATTATATTTCACCCCTATAGCATAGTAAGATAATAAGATTGTGTGAAGATATAATTATTTTTATTTGATGACTCATTAGAACACTTTTTTGACTTTAAATTTGACTAATGTAATTGTTATAATTATAGTATTTTGTGTGACCTTCTTTTGCTCTAATCACTTCTGCCACTATGCAAGATATATTCTTTATTAAATTTGAGTATTTCTTTTTAGCAATATTTCCTCACTCTGTTGTAACTTTGTCTGATAGCTGAAATAGCCCCATGAATTACTAAGTCATTCCAAAACCAACCATTTATAATTAGTTAGAGTTACTAAGTGTTTTTGGATCTTATTGCTATAGACTTTCAGTGAAGCAAGCACTCCTTTGGAGATATTCATCTGATACTTGACAGACAGAATAATAAGATGATAACATTTGAAATTATCAGAAGTTTTATTCTTCAGAAAAATTATCATATAGCTGATGATAGCTCTATGGAGTGGGCAAAAAAAATGACAGAGATTCTACTAGTTTTTGGGTGATGCTAAAAATAATTTGTTTATTGTAGTATTAAGAGTTATATACTATAAATATTTCTAGCCTGCACTAGGTTTATTTTCTCTGCTAGAAGGCTATCTAAACTCTATGTGTTTTAATAATTAAGTATCTGAAAAGAGAAACAAGATGGAGCTGAGTATATTATAGGTAGCTATGAACAAAGTAGTAAGGTATATGAAGGTTTTGGGGTGAAACCCCATAGAGTTTTCTGGCTCAAAATGCTGGCTTAAAATGCTAGCTTGACCTGAATGCAAAAGGTGAGCTGTAAGAGGTGAGTGGGCCCAAACAAGTCAAGGATGGGTACACTCATTCAGTGAATGAGTATAGTATGTCAGATGAAGCTGTTTGATAGCAAAATAGTTAGTGTTAGACATAGGTGTCTTTAAAAGAGCTTTATTTGAAAGACCTGTAAGAAGATATAGTATAGCAGGCATACAAAGAGAGAGAGCTAGGTCCACTGTTATCAATGGTGATAGGTGTCTGATGTAGATAAGAACAAAGAGAATTGACACCACATTGCTTACTCACATGTAGACTAACTTAAAAAACCTATTATTGCAGTAGAGGTAGTCACTTTCATATAAGTTACTAACTGGACAATTGCTCACTAATAATGGTGGATGAATTATAGCTACACTAGAAGAATGGTAAACTGATAGTTTTAAACTCATGTACTTAGTTAAAGACATAATGAGATAGCTGACAAATAGAAGGCTGACTGCTGTAATAGAGAACTTCAAGGTGAAGTAGTAATGTAGCTAAAAAAAAATTGATTCCTAGGTTCATCATTTTGTAAGCCAAGTGTTATACTATAATCAAACACTGTAACCCAAACTACGACTTACTCTACTATACTATAGTATTTACTAGGATGGACATACAACATTAACTCAGATGATACCAATAGACAGTCTACACTAACATTCAATCATTCTGAGTTGTCACAAATTGCTATTCATTCCACATAGGCATCTCCATCACCCCAACATCATATTTCAAAACTGAAGATAACTGACTTTGTCCAAGTACTCTAGCTTGTCACTCTAAGTCAACTAGAAGAATTTCTGCCCTATTTTGACTGTTGAAGTCAAGCCAGGAACCAAAGCTGCAAATTTTAAAGATATCCTAAGGTCACAAATAGAGAAGCAGATTATACATATATTTAATGCTGATTGCAACCTCAAGTTACCTCCTAGGATATCAGAATTTTTTATCTATCTGTCAGATTATATTTCTAGAATGTGATGCTAATAATAAGAGCAAATGATAGTCAGGCCCCTATAGTGAATTTTGATGGCCTATAAGCTATTTCTTGACATCATTCTCAGAAATACTCAATAGGATTAGGGTCTATGAACTATGCTAGCCATAAAAGAATGATAATATCATAGTATTCAAGCTATTGATGACTAACTCAATGATATGCTTAGAGAGTCATTATTTTGTTTCATCTATTAAGCAGATCTCATTAAGGTCATAAAATATAGTATCATTAGCAATACATAAATATTCAGGGAAAATACTCAGGCAAATTAGATCCATATTTTTGATAATAGGTCTTAGAAAGTATGTTAAATTTTTTAAGCAAAAAGTGTGAGTTACATTTAAGGTCTTTCTGAGATATATGAGGTATAATTTCAACAAGAAACAAGACTGATAGTATAGAGACCAGGTTGGTATCAGATGAGAACAAATTACTTTCAACTTTCAATTTAAATAAGTCATCTAAGACATCTGTGAGGTTACAAATAACAGATTTTGCACTATCATTGTCCAAAGTAGTCAAGTTTTCACATTTAAATCCAATATATTGAATAGAAATATTTTTAGATTGTTTTAAAGCACCTACCTAAGCATAGCTCAGCCTACAGTCAGCCTCTGAACTACTCCCACCAGCAGCTACCAGTCAGGCAGACTCATTTCCAATATTCAATGCTTGGACAGTCATTGAACTCTCACCTCCAGCATCAACAACCATACCAACAACTCCTAGCGCACCAGCTGTAAGAGCAGCTGCCAGTCGGGCAGGCTCATCTCTACTGATTGATACTCGGGCAGTCATTGAACCCTCACCTCCAGCATCAACAATTGTACCAA